CTAAGGATCTCACTGATTGGCATATCAAAGATAGACCAATCCGACACCTAGTGCAGTACCATAATCGGGTCTAGGGGTCAGGTGTAACTTTCCAGTTTTGCCCATCAATTTCCAAGGTTCAGGGCAATACTGGAAATCTGGTCCGGTTCAAGGGTTCAATTAATCCTACATTGCATGTGCCTCGGGTCTCACCCTGGCGGTTGAGACAAGCCACCTCAACAGTTGACAACACACCAGTGTCCACCTTTGTAGGATAAATCTCCCCAGACTTATCCAACGGCTGTGAACATTTAAAACCAACACAAGTCTCATTAAGTGTCTAGTTTTAGGGTCTTACACAGAAGTATACCACACAACATGAATCAAACATGTACTTCATTTATTTACACTAAATATCAAAAGTACATCAAAACTGATTGAAGTTAAGGGCATATAAAAACTGTCCAACAGATGTATGAAGAGAAGTATTCCAATACAAAAAACTACATGGTCTTCATGAGTGGCTAAATAAAAGCTATTTATCTTTGTACCATCACTTTTCATTAGATATAAAGTTGTTTCTATTTTAGTAACTTAATAGGTTACTTAGTCTCAAGTCCTTGAATTTTACCAAGATGGATGGCCAAAAATAAGTCAATCACTCCACCTTCACAATCGATTCTATTTTGGATACCTCATAATTTAGTTGCTATTGTTCATAACCACTCACTACCATCCTATTGAGCACCATATACTCTTGTCCATTCAAGTTAATTATCTCTTTTGGTTTCCTAGGTCAGCCTGTTTGCTGATCATCTGGCTGAGGTAGCGGCTGGAAGGGATGACTTATACTGTAGTCTCTTTGAGACCTATTTCTGGGTCTGTCTAGTTGTATCACCAGTTTACATGTGTGAGAGTGTGTGTATTTAATGATTGAAATCATTTAGTTATTTGTTTTTATCCTTTATGTTTATACGGTTTTCATGTTCAACAAATACTTTGCAGATTTTTGAAAGCAAGAAAATTTGATATTGAGAAAGCAAAGCACATGTGGGCTGAAATGCTTCAATGGAGGAAGGAATTTGGTGCTGACACTATTATGGAGGTAATTCGAACCACAGTTTCATGGAGACTTTTACGGTGAAAGCATATTTGCATAAAATGTGTAGAGAGTCGGAAGAGTTGTAATGTTGAAGCATTGAGGAAATGATCTGACGATGAGTTTCTTGTTTCAGGGATTGAAAGATGGAAAAAGAATAAGTCATATAAAAAGGAGGAAGAATAATTATATAAAAACAAAAGAAAAGAAATGAGATAGATGAGAAATAAACAGGACAGAGCTGTAATAAATAGGAAAAAGGAAAAGACAAATACAGCTTTATATACTTATTTTAAAGAAATGCGAAAACCGGTCTTACAAAAATGAATCATTGAAATGCTGCAGTTTTTTATTTTTTTCCATGTTCTTTTATTAGAGGATAAAAAAATTAAAAAATGTGAAGAATAATATGGCATCACTTAGATATGGCTAGGGAACATGGGTTTGATCTAGTGGACTAGCTTCCTCTTTTCCAAGAATCTTTTTCAGACTCTGCCTACATCTCAATTTTGCTTGACTTCTTCCCTTCCATTCCCCTCATTGGGGATTATTATGAATTGATAATCTCCTTATATTTGTGATGCGAAGTTTTCCACTTTGTAGGACATCTTGTTTTAAGCCAATCTAGGGCTCTTATGATTCCTGATCACGTCTTTTTTGATTGACATGGTTATTGTGTCAAAAATTTCACCAGGATTTCGAGTTCAAAGAGTTGAATGAAGTTTTACAATACTACCCCCATGGCCATCATGGTGTGGATAAGGAGGGAAGACCTGTTTATATTGAAAGACTGGGAAAAGTTGATCCAAACAAACTTATGCAAGTGACAAATATGGACCGATATGTGAGATACCATGTGCAGGAGTTTGAGAGGAGCTTTGCGGTGAAGTTTCCAGCCTGCTCTATTGCTGCAAAGAGGCATATTGATTCTAGCACAACTATTCTTGATGTTCAGGGTGTGGTATGTTGATTGTCCTTTTTTTCTTAGTCTAAGGAAATTGTTTTATTGTTCTGTTGAAACTATATGGTTGGTTATGGTTATCTTTGAAAAAAATGTAGTTGGTTATGGTTAGAACATATTTTGGTTACTTAAATTTTTATTTGTCTTTTATTCTTTTATCAGAGTTTAAAGAATTTCAGTAAAGCTGCACGGGAACTTATCATGCGGCTACAGAAGATTGATAATGACAACTACCCTGAGGTATGGAGCCATAAGGTCCTTAAGCTAGTACATTATTGCCTTGATATAGACATGCTGCAGCAGCAGAGCTGTGATTTGTATAACCAACTCAAAACAGTTTAGATATGCTTACTTTGGTTCATTCATGATCTTAAACATTGCCAAATTTTTTCAAAGATTTTTGTTTCTGACAGTTTTACTGAATGAAAAGCCTTATCTTAGTTTTTGTTTATCTTGGCCATAAGCTGCAAATGGATTGGATTTAATCTGACTCAAATTCAACTGGATTCATTCAAGTTAGGAATTTTTTTTTTTTTTTGTGTGTGTGTGTAGGAGTTTAAGTTGGATTCATATATCCATTTGGTTTCGAATTGCATTTGAAGATGCTATCCATTTATTAATTGAATTGGATTTGGATTTGCTTGTTCCAATCCATTAGAATCCAATCCAATTGTATATGAGATACCTTTTGTGGAATTTTAATTTAGAAAGCTCTTTAGGATTTAGCTGGATTTTGGATTCATAAACACCTATTTTTCTATTTACAATACATATTTTCTTATTTTGTGTTTAATTTTGTAGATTTATTATGCTGGTTCTATACAGATATATTTAGTTTTTAATTAAAGCGGGTATCTGGACATATACATGAATTGAATTCAGATTTGGATATACCCCTATCTGGGTTCAATCCAATTACTTGGCTAAAATATTTTAGTGTAGTTAATGCCTTGCCTAGGCATTTTGGAGGCCTATTGCTTAGGCAAAAATTTTGGTGGGTGATATAGCCATAAATGCTTTGACTAGGACCATAATAAGTAATTATGCTCCTTTATGCATTGATATCGACAAGATTCTAAATATTGATACAGACCGATACGCCAAATGGGGTGTATTGGTCTGTATTGTTGAGCGCTTTATTTTTTTGAACCAGCATTTACTTTGAACTACCAACCAGTGTAAACTTTGTCATTATTTTCTAAAAATCAGGTGTAAACTTTTACCCACTGTATGTTTACATAAGCGTGCAATCTGTTTTGGGTGGATAAAAAATCACATGTAAATCTAAAATTTAGGCTCTTAATCCATTTGTTTATATTTTTGTTTTACTTTGACACGAACTGAAAATGCTACTTCGCCATTTTTAAGTGATTCTGACTTCTCAAAACAAACAAGTAAGAACCTTTGATGTTTGTAAACACCCCCATAAGGTGTTGTTCCACTTTCTAAAAATTTGGTTGCAAAGTCTAAATTGACCAGTTTCTCTATTTTTTCAAACCTTGATGGTAGGTACTCCCACTACATTTCCAATATTGATTGCAGGAACTTGAAATGGCATTAGAATATCCTTATGTATTATGCTTTTATATGACATGGATAATACGTTGGTGCAGACGCTATGTCGTATGTTCATCATCAATGCTGGTCCTGGTTTCAGGCTTTTATGGAGCACTGTGAAGACTTTCCTTGACCCAAAAACAACTTCCAAGATTCATGTATGCAAGAATGCAATTTCTTCCATTTATTTAAAGATAGGTTCTTAGCTTTTCTAGGGATGTTGAGAATTATTTATAATATGGGTTATTTTTTAAAATTTTCCTCAGGTTCTTGGTAACAAGTACCATAGCAAGTTGCTTGAAATAATTGATGCCAGTGAATTACCAGACTTTCTTGGTGGTATCTGTACTTGTGCAGATCAGGGAGGTTGCCTAAGATCTGATAAGGGGCCATGGAAGGATCCAAATATATTGAAGGTTCTCTATCTCCTTCAGAAACTTGTTGAATTAGGATACTGAAGTTGCCGCAGGATCCGTCCATTAGGCTTTCTCTTCCTTTATTATATTTCATATATGGTCTAAGACTAAATATGAGTTATTGCATTTGCATTATAATGCAGATGGTTCTTAATGGTGAAGCTCGGTGTGACAGACAAGTTGTTACAGTTTCCAACAGCGAAGGGAAGATAATTACTTATGCTAGACCATATTATCCAACTGTAAGACCTTTCGGATCATCTTGTGCAATCTTCATCCCATAATCAGTGTTTAGTTTTGTTGTAAATTGTCTAATAGAATTTTCATTCTCTATTGACAACTAGCTTTATTATTTGCTGAAGCAGATAAAAAGTGGTGAAGCATCTACTGCTGAATCAGGCTCGGAAGCTGAGGACATTTCATCGCCTAAAGCAATTAGGAGTTATCTACATCCCCGTTTGACACCAGTTCGCGAAGAAGTATGTCTTCATTTTAATGTTGCCAAAATCTTGTAATTTACAATACTATGCACAATTTGAACCATCCTTTTCTGTAAAAATCTTATGTTTTTTGTTTGAATTCTACAATTTGACACATGAATCTTGCAATTTATATGATTTGTGCAATTCACATGAATTCAATTAAAAATTAGTTCTCTACTTTGTCATTACAATAATGTGTCTGCTGGATCCTATACTCTTATTAATTTATTATTTTAACATATAATCATGGACTGCTGAGGAAGAAGCTGTTTACAATTTAGAGCAATTGTACATGCTTTCTTAACATTCTTTGATTAACATACAGGCTAAAGTGGCTGCAAAGGCAAATTACACTGTTGGCTTCTCAGAGTATGATGAATATGTTCCCATGGTTGACAAAGCTGTTGATGCAGGATGGAAGAAACAACCTTCCTTTCAAAGGCCTTTTGCTTCCAAAGGTTGGCACTACTAGTTCATCTTTAATGGAGGAACAATAACTTTAATTCTTAGGCAATGTTTTATTGGAGGAATCAATTTTCTGATTCCCATTTATGATATTTCCACACCAGCTTATTCAACCCTATTTGGTAATACTGATCCTCAAAAATCAGTATAAGATTTGATTAGTCTTAATTCTTGTGATTTGGGGCAATGGGCGAAGCCCTGGGAGATAACTTCATGAATAAGGGTGATTCTTAAATTGATTGCTGATGTGGCAGTGACATGTACATGCCAGTAATATGCAAATCGGTAATGTTGTAACAGCTGTCATGCTTTCTGCAGAATCACCTTGAGCATTATTATTTTGACTAAACATGTTTTCTTGGAGAAATCAATGATTCCCCCAAATACCTTAAAATCAGTGATTCCTGGGGAAGTGTTTAGATAATGTGATTCCTCTTACCAAACACCCAATTAGACTTCCCTTTTTTAGAGTAATCAAAATGGAATCTATAAAGAATGGTTATCCTCACAATATGGTCTAAATTAAAGAGAAAGGAAAAAGATAAAAATCAAAGATAAATAGAAGAAACATGATTAGATAAAATGGAAAAAATAAAAATGAAATAGAGAAAAATAAAGAAATGATAGGAAATCAGAAGAGATAGAAATGAAATTTAAGGACGGATTTACCTCCTCTTTCTTATCAGTTGCATTTGAATTTTTCTTGATATTTTGACTGGTTCTTGAAATTTGGCTTAATTACCAATAAGGTTTTAGTACTTTGTCAGGTCAAAAACTCATGTTCGAAAGCTTGTCCCCAATGGACTTCACTTTTTCTCAGGGTCAGTGACTTTACTTTTTTACTTGTCAAACTCTTCTCTTATACCCTGTTTGCTTTCTAAAACATATGGCACTAGCAAAGCTGGGAGTGCACCTGCAACCCCTGTCCACTTCTGCATTTTTCCCTATTTCAAATGTCTCCTTTTCTCTTTCAAAATTGAATTCACTTTGCTTTCTTTATCATCTCTTAAATCGTTTGCACATATTTACATATTTTTCTTCAAGGGGAGGATGATAAGTGGAGAAGATGGCTAAAGCTTAGATGGGCATGAAATTGAACCATGTGACCATTGTCTCTGTTAGCTTCACTCTTTTCTGTACGTACAGATGATGTTTGTGGACTGATGAGGCTTTTATCCTTTTGTTTTTATTTCCTTTTCTTTCAGTTCTGGCAACACAAATGTCATCTTTTGAACATGGTAACTGAGAAGGAAATTACAGATTAAAAAAAAAAAAGAAACTTGGGGCTTCTTATTGTTTCCACGATAAGAAATCACAGGCAGTGTATAATTATGCTGACTTCTGATGGTGTTTAATTTTACAATTAGCAAATTCTTTTCTAGACATATTTTAAGTTGGTTGGTTTCTGATTGCTTCATTCATGGTTTACTTTCTTTCTGTGTAAAGTTATGCTAGTCAACCTGCTCTACTCTGCATCAACTCTCAAAGTTATTTTCTTAGCATCTAATCTTGCCAGGTATAGCTAAGCCATCGTTGATCTGAATTCAGGTGATAATTAAAATATGAAGGCAGCTGTGTTTATCTAACTCTGAAGCCAAGAAGATGATTCTAGCCACGGGTTTTGGTAGGGTTTTAATTGCTAGGTTTGAAGGATTTTTGACAACACAGTCTCTGGGTGACAATTGAACTTTGTCCTGTTAACCTAGGAAACTTGCTCGTGTTAAATAGGAATATGGGCATTATTGAATTTGTGATTCAATTTGGACAATTCAAGGAGTTTTCTTTTGGACTCTTGACTTCAAGCAGTTTTCTAATAGTAACAAAATCTGTGAACCATCAGCAAATGTGCGTGTGTGTGTGTGTGTGTGATCTGTATACATAGACCTAATCTGTGAACTGCCTTGGTTATGGTTAGCAAGCATTTCTATGTTTTGCTTAATTACTCAATATGATAATTTGCACCTCTAAAACATCTATCATGCAGGGACACTTCCTTCACCTGAATCTCAGAAGACTCCAGAAGGAGTTCAGGCTCAGATTTTCAGACTGTCAATGACCTTTGTCATGATACTATATGCTCTCCTCCATTCAGTAACATCCCGGGTATTGAAGAAGCTTCCTGATCCATTGTCCACTTGTGTCCCCAACACATCAGAGTTCTCACTTAAACCAGCATCTAAGGAGTTCTGCCCTCCTTCACCAACTCGATTTACAGAAACAGACCTTCTGTCATCTGTACTGAAACGACTGGGGGAGTTAGAGGAGAAGGTAGACATACTTCGGTTGAAGCCAACTGAAATGCCTTGTGAGAAAGAGGAGCTGTTGAATGCTGCTGTTTGTCGCGTTGATGCATTAGAAGCAGAGCTTATTGCCACAAAGAAGGTATACTATCATACTGGTTTTTGCATCTGTTGCTATGACAAGACAGTAAGGTCAATCCGAGTACACATCTCTGCCCCACAACCCATCCCCGCTGTGTATTGGGAACATCTCCCTATGATAGTATCAGAACCGATGATGTCTGACATCATCGGGAGATGTTCCCAATACACGGTGGGGGTGGGCGTTGTGGGGCGGCCCCTTGTGGGGTGATGTGAACTCGGTCAATCCTACAGTCCCAATGCCTCTGTTAGGTCAAAATGATGGGGCTCCCTAGTGACGTGGAGCATCGCATTGCTGTCAGAATAGTGGGATTAATGACTGACGTCAGTCTGATGAACCTGGAGAATGCTGGGAAAGCATGCACTTGTTTGTATTATTACTTTCCAATGTCCAGTGCCCTCCCATTCTCTACACTGTATTTGGTAGAAAATTCTTGTGAATTCACAAGCGCTGGAAACCATGCAGTTTATGGTACCTTACTAGACAGGCCTTTCGCAGAAGAGGGATCCACATAAAATGGCAATTTAGGCCGCATTACGTTTCCTGACATCAGTTCATATTATGTTCCTACTCCCAAGTCCCATGTCCCATGTTTCATAGTAGTACCCTAATGCTTCATGACAGTTTTCTCTTTTTGTTTTTGTTTTTTTTTTTTGTTTTTTTTTATTTACTTTTGAAATTGCAACAGATAGTGCTGCTAGGGGAAAAAACCATGATTGGGTGTAGTGCTAGAATTTGAACAGACTCTGCAACATGGCCAATTTGGAGGGGTCACCCATCCAGCAGATGGGTTGTGCTCATATCACCCTATGCCTAACTGATATCTTCAAGGGAGGGGATTCACACAATGATGATATCTAAAAGCGATTATGTTCCTGTTTGTATATTTTATAAGTAACAGTTAATCATGCATTTATTAATGAAAAGGGGAAAACCGAGCTGTACAAGATAATATCATACAAAAAAAAAAAATCATCCCAGAGCCTAACACTCTCCTTCAATCACTTTTACTTTAAATGGATTCGCCAGTCCACCCCCGGATAAATTGTCTCAAATTTCTAGAATAATCTGTGTATGTTTTTGCTTGTCTATATTTACTTGTGTCCTTGGGCAGGCTCTTCATGAAGCTCTAATGAGACAAGAGGAACTCCTTGCGTACATTGACCGTCAAGAAGCAGCCAAATTCCAGGTAAGTTTTGACTATCTGGTTGCATTATTCTGTAAGAAAAGATTATGTACATCATTGATGACACTGGGATGTGTGTTTAATCTTATTTTATGTTTCGCAGAAAAAGAAGTTCTGCTGGTGAAGGAAAGATTCACAGGAAGGGGGGTTTCAGTAGTTTATGTATGAGCTGTGGTTTATGTATCAATAGTCTATACATGTGTTTGAGACGAACACGAAGAAGCCTTACTGAGTCCAAATTGTGAGTTTCTCTCTTGTATAATGCAGAACCCATGGAAATAAATATGTATTTATTTATTATTCCCTCTTGTTTTCTCAGTTTTGGACGCGCATGGTTTGATTTATTGTACCAGAGTGATGTAAGAAACTGAAGCATATAGTGAAAGAACATTTCAAGCTCTTTGTAATCATGACATGCTTTATACCTCCCACATCGCCTTATCAACTTGATAGTAATGATTCATGAAATGTTGTTTTTATTCAAGGAAGCTGCCTTAGGATAATTGCAAGAAGTTGGCCGGGGGTCCAAGAAAAATGCTGGCTGTACAAGCTTGAATAGGAATAGGGTGGCTGATGGCAGGCAGGGGCGGAGCCAGGGGGGGTGGTAGAGGGGAGCCATGGCCCTCCCTATGCCTTGAAAACCCTCATAGTAATTGTTTAAATCCCCCATATTTTACCCCACATCCATATTTCTTATTTATTGGCCCACCCTATCCATGCTTATTACGCTTTGGCCCCCTCTCAATAAAGAATCCTAGCTCCGCCCCTGATGGCAGGTACTAATTATTGTGTCAAGAGAACTGCATAACCAAAAGCCACAGCTTATGCGGAATACGACCGTTGAGTACAAGTAGATGTCCGAAATAAGCATTTCGGCTAGTAAAACGGTACTAGTAAATGTGTCTGAGTAGACAATCTAAAACAACTTTTCATATCTGAACTGGTAAGACCCAAGCCGCGCACTGAACGTAGTCAGGCCATTTCAGACCTGGCTGAAAGTTTAAAATGTCTTCAATATTTTTTGAAATGACATGTTTTTAAACCTGATACTCTGATAGAAGCTCATTCGGTTTGTTGCCATCAAATGAGAAGGGGAGATTCACCACAATACGCAAGCTTTGCCCTAAGTAATAGTCTGTTCTTGGAACTCCGATTGCTTCTTCCTCAAAATCTCATCCAAGCTTTGCAACTTCTACCATTTCTCTTAAGAACAGGAAGCTTCAAGACCACTTTGACCATCATAAACACCGATTATTACGACATCAAGAACCCATGCTACACGTGCTACTCAACTTCTCTAGCTGGTTTATTCTTGATCTTGATCTTGGTTTCTTGCCACTTGCTCGGCAAGCTAGAAGGCATCAAATTGTATTTATAAATACCATTGTATACCATAAGAAAGGCAATAAAGTTTCATTTTATCTTCTGAGGTAATGCTCATTTTGTCACCTTATTGCAAGTTACTGTCGCCTCATTGCAACCTGCTGTCACAACTCTGCGCTTTTACATGGTATCAGAGCTAATAGTCTAATCAATCGTTGCATCTTGGTTTCCCTAGCAACGCCAACAACTATGTTCTTCATCAGATCACAAGAAAATGGCGGTTAAAAACGACGGGTGTAGAGACATAGACTTCTCTGATCCTACATCTCCATACTATCTTGGCACCTCAGGCAACCCTGGCATGGTGCTAGTTACTACTCTTTGGAACGTGACAACTATCCGAATTGGAAAAGAGCAATGAACAATGCTCTTTGGGAAAGAACAAGATCGGTTTTGTTGACGACACAATCTTGAAGTCGGATCAGACAAGACCAGTAGAGCTCTTTGCTTGGAAGAAATGTAATTTGATGGTCATATCCTAGATTTACAATCCCCTGGCCAGAGAGTTACATGACAACGTTGCTTACATGGATGATTCCCGTGCAATCTGGTTGGATTTTGAAAAAAGATTCTTGCAGGGAAATGCTCCTCGCATATTTCACTTGAAACAGGAATTAACTTTGCTCAGACAAGATAATCTCTCTGTTTCAATGTATTACACAAAGATGAAGGCAATCTGGGATGAACTCTCAACTTATATCCTAGCGCCTATATGCATTTACTGTGCATGTGGTGTGATGAAAGATCTAGTAGCAGAACGCGAGAAAGATTATATCTACCAATTTCTCATGGGTCTTAATGACCACCTCAACACTGTTTGCTCCAACATTCTTGGAATAGAGCCACTTCCATCTGTGAGTAAGGCATATGCCTTAATTACACAAGAGGAGAAACATTAGTCAGTTATTGGGCAACGGAATCCTACGATTGAACCAACAACTTTCCATGTGACTAATCAAGCCAAGGTAGTTCCAAGAATAACAAAGATTGACCAAAGCTCCGCTGTGATCACTGCAAGAAGACATGACACAACAAAGATCACTGCTACGAATTCGTTGGTTATCCTCTTGGCTAGGACGTGAAAGGAAAATCTGGCATGATGAAAACCTGTTATCAAGAAAAGGATAACACCAACACTCCGAGGCCAAGCTCACATGCTTCAAATGCTTCAAATTCTTCACCAATAGCAAGCCATATAATGGAATAGTACCAACAACTTCTAAATATTCTCAAGACTGATAACCCAACAATTTCCTTAAATTTTGCTGGTAAGGCCTCTAGCTTTCATTGGCTATTGGAGTCAGGACCTTGGTTATTGGATAGTGGTGCATCAAACCACATGGCACCCTTAACCATGAGTCTAGATAATCGCATTATCTCTGCACCCGACAACCTATTCATTTGCCAAACGGATCTGTAATGCCAATACAATCACAGACCGATTTGGCACTATCCTCGGATTTGTTTCTATGGGATGTTTTGTTCATGCTAGACTTCAAATGCGAGCTATTATCCATCAGTAAATTGACCTCACAACTTAACTGTGTTGTCCTATTTTTTTTTCAAACTTCTGTGTAATACGGGACCTGAGCTCCAAGAAGGTGATTGGACTTAGTTTGATGCATGATGGTTTGTATTATCTATTGCTTATCCCACCATCGGTGGCTCTTCACGCTGTACGTGACGTTGAATCAAGACTGTGGCATTCAAGACTTGGACATGCTTCCTATCAAAATATTTCTTTGATTCTTGATTTACATATCCCCGAACATAATAATACTTGCCGTGACATTTGCATAAAAGCAAAATAGGATCACCATTGTTTTTCCATTAGTAAGACCCGTTCTACAAAATGCTTTGATTTGATACATATAGATATCTAGGGTGGATACCACACTCCATTACTTACAGGGGCTAGATATTTCCTTACTTTGTGGGATTATTCACGAGCTACATGGGTTTTTCTGATGCAATGCAAATCTGATGCTTATTGTTACCTGCTTATGTTCTTTGCCATGGTTCAAACTCAGTTTAGCACATGGGTAAAATGTGCCCGATCCGATAATGGGTTGGAATTCCTGTCGGGTCCTATGCAGACATACTTTATTGAGAATGGCATACTCCATCAACGTTCATGTGTTGAAACTTCGCAACAAAATGTAGTGGTGGAATAGAAACACCATCACATTCTTGAGGTAGATAGAGCCCTATGGTTCCAAGCAGGTTTGTCAATCCAGTTTTGGGGGGAGTGTGTTCTTACAGCTGCATATCTAATCAATTATCTACCCACCTCTAACCTATATGGTAAAACCCTACATGAAATGTTATACCAGAAGTCACCAACTTATGATCATCTCCTCACATTTGGATGTCTTTGCTATGCCACAACACTTAAATGTGGTAGGGATAAATTCAGTCCACATTCACAGCAATGCATATTCATCGGGTACCCTCATGGCCAGAAATGTTACCATGTTTTTAGTCTTGAAACAAAGAAAGTATTAGTCTCTCGGGATGTAATATTCTGTGAAGACCAATTTCCATTTAAGACTATTGATCACAACAACGTTGATACTTCCCCTGCTACGATGGTCCTTGTTCCAATCACTGATGATGCCATCTCTCCATTGGGAACAATCAATGGGGATGGGCCCTATACAACAACTAATGATACTAATCTGGATTCATCTCAAAGCCCACTTCATCAAGTTGATGGTATAAGCCCGATCCCATCACAAGAACTATATGCATACTCCACAGATTAGATTGAGGCTGTAGAGCCATCACAATCACAACCATGTGATGAACTTGTCACCAATGAGAATTCCCAATCCAGCTCTAGGCCCATCAAAATGCATCAACACCCACCAAATTGAAGGACTTCATTTGCCCCACCATCAAACATGGACCAACAGTGTGTAGCACAAGTCTTCTAATCTGCCACTTTCTTACTAGTCTTGATTTAAGCTCTACGCCATCTGACATACCACCTGAACCCACCACCTATCAATAAGCTAACCAACATCCATGTTGGCGCAATGCCATGGAAGCTGAACTTAAAGACCTTGAAACCACCAAAACTTGGTCCCTAACAGATCTTCCTCCTGGAAAAAAGCCTATTGGTTGCAAATGGGTTTACAAAATTAAGACCAATCCTGATGGTGGCATAGAGCGCTATAAAGCGCATCTTGTAGCCAAGGGATACACCCAAACTGAGGGTGTGGATTACACAAAAACCTATGCATCAGTTTCTAAACTCGTCACTGTCAGTTTCCTATTAGCCTTAGCAGCTGCACGGGATTGGCACTTACATCAGATGGATGTGAACTATGCTTTCCTCCATGGTACTCTACATGAAGAAGTATAAATGGGGCCCCCTCCGGGCCTCCTTCCTCCAGGTGACACCCGTGTTTGTAAATTGAACAAGTCAATCTACGGGCTAAATCAAGCATCTAGAAATTGATTTGACACTCTAATCCAGGCACTCAAGCAAAGAAGGTTTTCTTAGTCTTCTATAGATTATACTCTGTTCACGCTTCACAAAACTAGAGGGACTTTGATTGTGCTAGCTTATGTGGATGACTTAATCATAGCTGGGAATGATCCAGTTAGCATTGAGTCACTTAAAAAATACCTCAGTCACTGCTTTCCCGTCAAAGACCTGGGTCCACTCCGATAATTTCTGGGCATTGCGATCTCTTGGTCTCCTTTTGGCATCTTTCTAAACCAGCATAAATACACGCTCAACATTCTCAAGGAAACAAGAATGCTTGGATGTTGTCCAAGAACTTTTCCTACGAAACAATAACACCATCTTGGCCCAGATTCTGGTCCCCCTATACCACACCCAGACCAATATAAACGCTTAATTTGGTGCCTACTCTACCTCACCATCACTAGACCAGAAATCACATATGCAGTACATATCCTCAGTCAATTCATGAGCGACCCACAACAATAACACCTGGACACTGCTATGCATGTTCTTCGATATCTCAAGTCTTCATTTGAGCACATGATATTTCTTTCT